CAGTTAAAAAGTTGGCACATTTTCATGTCAAATGAAAAATCTTACAGCCAAACTAGCAAGGTTCAAATATAGACGACCACTGCGTTGGTTACTCTGAAAAAAAAGGAGTTTTGCAGAATCTTTTTTGATTCTGCAGCACTTGCAGAACCATTTAAAGTTCTGCATAGCAGTTGAAAAACTATGAATAGTTTTGCCGAATAATGCTGAACCAAAAAAGGTTCTGCCATGTAATGCTAAACCATGTAAGGGTTTTGGTCGACGGTACTGAACCCATCAGGTTCTGTCTTATAAATGCGGAACATCTAAGGGTTCTGTCCATCAATACTGAACCATGGAAAATTATCTATCCAATTATACTGAACCAGAAGGGTTCTGTACACAAATACTGAACCATGTGAAGTTTTTTTCGGAAAATACTGAACCGAAAGGGTTCTTTCCAATAATGCGGAACTTCAAAAGGTTCGGTAAGAACATATTTTTTCAAAAACCGTGTAGAATAATTTGACAGAACCATTTTCTCATTTTTTTCGTTTCTTTTTTTTCGCGATACATTATTATGCATTGATCGCACGATAATTGTTGGCGATGAAGAATTTCGTTTGATTTTGTTCACTTGAAGTACAAAGACGGAATAATTTTTATTTTTATTGATTTAATTTTTTGAACTCATTTGGTTTTTATTTGCTTTAGAATCAGATTAAAATAAATCATCATTGCATTGAAAATACTTATCAGTCGATAGTAATCTTGTTAAACAATTATAAAGATATATTAGTTCGATCATTTACTTTTATTATTTTGAATTGTTATGTGAATTTTCAGCATGTTTTGGTCAATACTATGTTATGATTGATAAAATACAGGAGAAACGCCTATTCAATTTTTTTTAACGACAGAAAAAAAAATATATTTCCTTCTTAGTACTTCATTATTTTCTATTTGAATAAGTGCCTGCTACATTGTAGATCTGAAGCTTTTTTTTCTATCGAGCACTTTACTGATAATTCAGATACAATAATGTTTCTTATAATCATGATGTATAAATTGATTTACTTTCTAAAATTATATTTCCAACAATTGCTTTTTCTTTTTTATTAATTCGAACTTGATTTTCATTAAAATTCGTATTTCTCATTTTAGATTCAATTGATTCTTTGATTTTGTTCCAATTATTTGTTCTATTCAACTATTAAACCAATAGGTATGAATTCAGCTGATGTTTTGCAATGGCTCAAATCGTTTATCAATGATGAACATATTGTTAAAGTTTTTGAAGGTAATTTCTTGTGTTTCTTTTTTGTTCAGATAATATCTACCTAAATATACACATGTACATCATAAGTGGATTTATCAATGCGACTTGTTTCAGGTTATTTCTCCCTCTGATTTACAAAAAAAAAACAATTTTAAGAATAATTTTGTAGTATTTTGGTGTTTAATATTTTAGTTTAAATCTGTAGCATGAGTGGAAATTGTTATTTTTGTCAATTGTGTATTAATGTTTCTGCATATTGTTCATTTGAATCTTAATATACACACATAAACTTAGTTCATGGTAATGATCCATCTTTCAAACTCAGATGTGAGCTAACTTCTCTCTGCGGTTCTATCTATAGAACACTTCCAAGCTATAAATCTCATATTTATAAAAATCATTTGATAAAGTAGATACATTCTCTACATCTAATGATGATTCAAATAACAATTTTGCATTATCTTACGCTGATGATTATGAATTCGATTATGAAAGAACTAACAATGACAATGACGAGAATTTACAACCAACGAATGAATATGATGAAGAAATGGAAGTTGATTATCCACTGTTTACGAAAGCGATTTTAGAACATGATGAAGAACCATTTGATACGAGAAAATTTCAGAAATATTATACAGGTTTTCTCTTGGAATTACGTGAACAGCACTTGCTTTCTCAGAACATCATCACATCAGTTACATCTAATTTTTCAATTCTATTCAATATTGTTCTTAAAAATTATAAAAAGCACAGGAAGTGGTGCGAATTCAGCAACAACAGCCGCCGTACCAATAATCAAAGTAGAAGAAATTATTAACCAAATAATTCGTACAATAGAAGGTGCAGCAAAAAATGAATATCAATTCATTAAGAGTTGTAAAGAATTTTTTCAATATGAAGAGCCACATAAGATAGAGTTGAATGAATCAGGTGATTGTGACTATATTATTCCGATAAAGAAATCCATCCAAAATTTTCTGAATAAACCAGATGTTATTGATNTGCCGGTCTTTCTATTTAGTGTTGAGAATAAAATTCTATATATTATATTTCATAATTTCTCAGTCTATTTTGATATTGTTTTTCTGTACTTTTCGAATGTACAAAGTTTAACAGACATAGAAACTATATATTTAAGATTATCATCTAACTTATAAATCGAAATTTATTTAACAGAAGTCCTTATTAAGAGAGTACCTTATTAGGAAACATCGTAAAATATATGCGTTAAATTTGTTTTTTACTATATTTTTATCTCTAACATATAAAAATGACGTCTGAAAGTATGTTAGCATCAGAATTTATCGTGAGAATACAGCGATAAAAATGACTCTCAGTGAGAGCATCATTATAATTTTTTCTCGTCCTAACAAAGAGTAAAAAACAAAGGACCCCGCCGACTAAGATCGTAAATCTGCCACCCCTTATGTTTCACTTTCAATAGGCTAGAAAGATAGAGCATGAAATTCTGCACATTTCTGTGTATTGTTTTTCTTTCTTTGGAATACAAAAAGAAATTTTCAAAGAGCAACTAGTCGTGGGGGGTATATCACTTTGTCGTATTCCACAAAATAACTATGGTCACCATCATTTTTTGTTTTCTAAAACTAACATGAAAACTAATAGCGTAGATCGACGCAGTTTTTCGTGCTCTACAAAATAGTATGAATATATAAATTTCCAATTGTTGTCATTAAGGGCCATAAGATTCACAAATATAAGAAAATATACAAATAAATACTATTATACGGCTATTTTATTTTTGATACATTTCAAGTTGATTTTCTGACTAACGACCAATTAGACAAGATGACGACTATGATAGAAAAATTCCTCGTGATTTCCTCTACAAAATAGTGTAAATTTTAGAAAAATAAAAATAGTCCGAATATAGAATATTTGATGATTACTTTTGAACATGTCGTTATCTCACTTGTATATCGATATTTTTTTTGACAGATGTTAGATTTTATTTAAGCTACTCCAGTTTATATATCATAATTCATGTCAGCTTCTCATTGAGTAAGTGAAACTACATTAAATAGAGTTCTATGGAGTAGTTCAACAGACATCCTCAACTGATCTTTACTACTCTGAAAAAAAAAAGGAGCTTTGCAGAACTTTTTTTGGTTCTGTAGCACTTGCAGAACTATTTAAAGTTCTGCACAGCAGTTGAAAAACTATGAATAGTTTTGCCGAATAATGCTGAACCAAAAAAGGTTCTGACATGTAATGCTATACCATGTATGGTTTTTGGTCGACGGTACTGAACCCATCAGGTTCTGTCTTATAAATGCGGAACGTTTAAGGGTTCTGTCCATCAATACTGAACCATTGAAAATTATCTATCCAATTATACTGAACCCGAAAGGTTCTGTACACAAATGCTGAACCGTGCGAAGTTCTGTGTTCGATTATATAGAACGAGAAAGGTTCTGTACACAAATGCTGAACCGTGCGAAGTTCTGTGTTCGATTATATAGAACGAGAAAGGTTCTGTACACAAATACTGAACCATGCAAAGTTCTGTGTTCGATTATATAGAACGAGAAAGGTTCTGTACACAAATACTGAACCATGCAAAGTTCTGTGTTCGATTATATAGAACGAGAAAGGTTCTGTACACAAATACTGAACCACGTGCAGTTTTTTTGGAAAATACTGAACCGAAAGGGTTCTGTCCAATAATGCAGAACTTCAAAAGGTTCGGTAAGAACATATTTTTTCAAAAATCGTGTAGAATAATTTGACAGAACCATATGTGAGAAAATGGTTCAGAATATATTTGACAGAACCATTTTCTCATTTTTTTTTCCTTCCTTTTTTTTCGCGATACATTATTATGCATTGATCGCACGATAATTGTCTGCGATGAAGAATTTCGTTTGATTTTGTTCACTTGAAATACAAATACGGAATGAATTTTCGTTTTTATTGATTTAATTTTGTGAACTCGTTTGGCTTTTATTTATTTTAGAATCAGATTAAAATAAATCATCATTGCATTGAAAATACTTATCAGTCGATAGTAATCTTGTTAAACAATTATAAAGGTATATTAGTTCGATCATTTACTTTTATTATTATGAATTGTTATGTGAATTTTCAGCATCTTTTGGTCAATACTATGTTATGATTGATAAAATACAGGAGAAACGCCTATTCAGTTTTTTTTTAACGACAGAAGAATATATATATTTCCTTCTTAGTACTTCATTATTTTCTATTTGAATAAGTGCCTGCTACATTGTAGATCTGAAGCTTTTTTTCTATCGAGCACTTTATTGATAATTCAGATACAATAATGTTTCTTATAATCATGATGTATAAATTGATTTACTTTCTAAAATTATATTTCCAACAATTTTTGTTTTTTTTATTAATTCGAACTTGATTTTCATTAAAATTCGTATTTCTCATTTTAGATCCAATTGATTCTTTGATTTTGTTTCCATTATTTGTTCTATTCAACTATTAAACCAATGGATATGAATTCAGCTGATGTTTTACAATGGCTCAAATCGTTTATCAATGATGAACATATTGTTAAAGTTTTTGAAGGTAATTTCCAGTTTCTTTTTTCTTCAGATAATATCTACCTAAATATACACATGTACATCATAAGTGGAATTATCAACGCGACTTGTTTCAGGTTATTTCTCCCTCTGATTTACAAAAAAAACAATTTTAAGAATAATTTTTTAGTATTTTGGTGTTTAATATTTTAGTTTAAATCTGTAGCATGAGTGGAAATTGTTATTTTTGTCAATTGTGTATTAACGCTCCGGCATATTGTTCATTTGATTCCTTATATACACACATAAACTTAGGTCATGGTAATGATCCATCATTCAAATTCAGATGTGAACTAACTCCTCTCTGTGGTTCTATCTACAGAACACTTCCAAGCTATAAATCTCATATTTATAAAAATCACCGAGAACTCATTGTAAAATCACTTGATACAGTAGATACATTCTCTACATCTAATGATGATTCAAATAACAATTTTGCATTATCTTATGCTGATGATTATGAATTCGATCATGAAAGAACTAACAATGACAATAACGAGAATTTACAATCAACGAATGAATATGATGAAGAAATGGAAGTTGATTATCCACTGTTTACGAAAGCGATTTTAGAACATGACGACGCTCCATTTGATATGAGAAAATTTCAGAAATATTATACAGGTTTTCTCTTGGAATTACGTGAACAGCACTTGCTTTCTCAGAACATCATCAGATCAGTTACATCTAATTTTTCAATTCTATTCAATATTGTGCTTAAAATTATAAAAAGCACAGGAAGTGGTGCGAATTCAGCAACAACAGCCGCCGTACCAATAATCAAAGTAGAAGGAATTATTAACCAAATAATTCGTACAATAGAAGGTGCAGCAAAAAATGAATATCAATTCATTAAGAGTTGTAAAGAATTTTTTCAATATGAAGAGCCACATAAGATAGAGTTGAATGAATCAGGTGATTGTGGCTATATTATTCCGATAAAGAAATCCATCCAAAATTTTCTGAATAAACCAGATGTTATTGATCTATTGGTTAAAAATATAAATGAAACAATACTAACAACAAAAAAAGATAAAGATTTGCTATTAACATATCGTGATGGTACTGCTGCCGCTACCAATAAATCACTTGAGAAAAATATAAATTCATTTTTATTACAGTTGTATAGTGATGACGTTAGCGTTACCAATCCTATTGGGCCAAAAAAAGATGAAAAGAAATTATCATTATTTTATTACATCCTTGATGATTTACCTCCAATTATTCGATCATTGTTAAATTCTATTAGTTTATTTGGTATTTGTTTATCAAAATTATTAACTAATCCATCACATCGTCGAATATATTTTGAAGCAATGATTAATGATTTAAACAAATTGCAAACACAAGGTTTAACATTATCCACAGGTACTGGACGTTTACATTTTGCATTTAATTTATTGGCTGCAGATAACTTGGCTGCAAATGATCTTGGAGGTTTTCAAAAAAACTTTAACAATGGTTATTTCTGCCGCATGTGTAATATTTCTTACACTTACAAGTCCATTCCATTAACAGATATTTCTTTTTTGTTACGATCTGAAAAATCATATGAAAATTATTTAAATCAAGTGTTACAATCAAAAAATTCAATTTTTGGTATTACTCGTCATAGTGATTTTTCAAATTTAATTGCATTTCATCCGATAAGATCATTACCTTTCGACATCATGCACGATTTTTCAGAAGGTAAATTACATGAATCTACTGATGCTTAAATTTCTTTCATTTCTCTAGGTGTATGCATGATAATTGTCCAATCCATATTAAAAGAATTATCTGCACGTCGAATTCTTACTTACGCACAAATCGAAGCAAGATTAGAAGCTTTTGAATATGGACAGAATGATCAGTCCAATAAACCACCTACAGTTCGACCAAAACATCTCACCAACAATCATATTCCTGGGTCAGCTTCACAAAAACTTCTGCTATTTCAAATGCTACCCATTATATTTCATGATGTTATTAATCGTTTAATTGATTTACTACCTATATATACTTGTCTTCGTGAAATTGTTTCGATTGTTTTTGCAACGAGAATTCGAAAATCGTGGCTTCCTTATTTAACATCTGTAACAATATCTTTTCATTCTTTGATGATTGATAAATTACCAGACAATATTACTGCAAAAGTGCATTTTATTACTCATTATCCGGAGTTAATCAAAAGAAATGGTCCACCACGTAATTATTGGTGTCAAAGATTTGAAGGCAAACATCTGTACTTCAAAAAACTTGCTATACGGTCGTCAAATTTCAAAAATGTTTCATTTACGTTAGCGAAAAGACATCAACTTCGTCTTGGTTTATTATTATCTTATGAAACGTTTTATCACTTAATCGATCAAACAATATCAACTAAATCTATCAAGTCATCTCAATTACCGATTGACATAAAAACTTTTATTGGTACAAAATCATCTTGATTCATTAACATATATTGAATGTCAAACATTAATTCATAATCATGTTAAATACATTAAAAATTCTGTTTTCATTATAGCCTTGCATCACGGAGAAGAAATTCCTGAATTTGTTCTTCTTCGTTACATATTAAAATTAACTGATACGTGGAAATTAATTGTTCAGCACCTAGAAACTTCGTCTTTTGATCAAACTCTATGGTCTTACGAGATCACTTATCTCGAAAAATTTTCTGTTATGAACTTAGATGAGTGTGTGAATATACTTCCACATGGACTTGATGTTTACTTTTTAAAAAAATCATCTTTTGTTAATGTTTTAACACGTTTAACTAGATGAATAGGCATACCAGTAAAACAAAGAAGTTCCGCACTGTTTTGATGCTGGACATATTTTTTTGAGTGATGAAGTCAACTTGCCTTTCTTCGATTCTAACAGTCTAGTATATATACTATCTTTTTTTGTTTAGAAGAAGAAATTGATGGACATTTATTACAGAAATTACGTTTTGAAGAAATTAAATCTTTATTTCCGAAGTTAAAACAAAGAACAATATTTCTGGATGAACGTGAAAAATTGTCATATAAGCTATGCAGTGAGAAAATTCAATCGAATCCAACGCCAATAGATGATGATGATCAGGAAGAACAATCACTATTTGTTGATGAAAATATGAAATCTTCTGATTCCATTCCATTTGTTGACGAAGTAGTTATAGAAAATACCGAAGTTTCATCACCTAATTCGAGTAATAATCATTCTGATGATGAAGAAAATGATGATCAATTAATAGAGAAGGAAATTAAACTCCAAGAAGATTATGAATTACCACCATTTCCAACTGATTTAAAATTTGTTATTGATCAGAAGGACTTCACAAAACTAGCTGCTCATAGTAATTTAAGAAGAGTATTGTTGAATTTGGTCTATGATGATATTGCAAATAAACATCATTTGTTGTAAGTGCTAGTTGATTGTATGTCTTTAACTTATATTTTGAATACCTAATTGTTCTCTTTTAGATATCCAAAATCACAAGATTATATTGTTATTACAAAAGCTATATTACGATCATTAAATATTCCAGTAGACAATAAAGATGCATTGGTGAGTTTTGAAAACGCATTCTTGTATTGTGTGTGACGAATCGAATATCTTTTTTAAAAATAACTATGAAAGAGTTAACTCTTAAAACGCTAGTTAAAAGCAGCAGTGTTCTCTTTTTGTATATACATTGTGCACATTGATATTATTTCTTTTTCTATTTTTTTTTTAGAATGAATATCGAGAATCCATTAAACAGAAATTCAAGAATGAACGAAAACCATTACAAAAAATCAATGCACAAGTTCAAAGAAATAAAAACAAGTTCGGTAAAGGTCCAGGAAGACCAGTAAAAAAAACTGATTTAGTTTCAGCCGAGAGAAAAAATGAAAAATTGGTAAGTTATTTTCATTTTTTTTCTCGAATGTCTTTTTAATTATATAATATTTTTTTTCTTCCTCTTGCAGATGTTTATTGGTCAATTAGACGATGAACAAGATATGTTTAAGCTTAATCAGATGTTAAAAGATGAATTTAATAAAAAACCAGTCAATATGGAAGCACTAACATATTTTTGGAAAAAAACATTTACGTATCGACGGTTATTCACACGTAATAATGTTATTAAAGAAGTTTTGCTGGAGTATCCAGCTTATTCATTGACATCCTTGGTAAGTTGCCTAGAAATTTTGCTATCATCAGCAATAATTCATCTTTTATCTTTTCAGGTTTTCGAAGAAGTTCGCATGACAACTGATACAGATATTGAACGTAATGTACAATTATTTTTGCCTATGTTATTTGAAAAATTACCGGATAATTCTATGTTTATATCAGGTAAAATAATATTTAGCTAGTTAAAATGATGCTTGTAGTTGGATTTCTCAATTTTTTTCTAGATGTTTTACCAATCCGGGTGATAAAACTGCTATATCACCATTTTAAAGATCCTGTAACATATGCTTTAACTGAAAAAGTAATATTACATTTATGTATATTTTAAATTATATAAGAAATATAATACAAAGACTGTGTTAATCTTTTATATCTTCAAAACTTCGAAATTTATCGTATTTATTTTGCTCCTTCTTTTAGGACCCAATAACACCTGCTCCTTGCATTAAAATGTTAAACGATAAATATGAGCTATATCTTGATTATCAGCTCATTGCACAAACAACGTCTGCTGAAGAGGCAATATCAGTGCTACTTTGTTTATATAATATTTTCGAAATAATAGATCAAATGTTTTTGAA